TATTATATTTCTGGAAAATTTAAGGGGTAGTTATATAATAATTTTGGACGATCTCAGGCGGTTGGATACTTATGACCGCTACTGTAAATAAATAAATAAATAACAATATAATAATAAATATAACTTAACAGTATAATTAATATCTTTTAAGACTTTTACGATTATTAAAATAGAATGAAAAGTGGTAAGAAGTAGACCTATACTATAGAAAGATTATATAATACTTGATTTTGAGATAGGTCAGATAATAATTAAAAATGTTTAAATGATTTTTTAGATTTATATTAAATATATTTACTTTTTTAGAATCGAGACACATTCATAGGAAAAATTATAATTTGCCTACTACAAAATAAATATAAAATATAAGGCAAAATTGTAACAAGTTTGTAAGGTAAAATTGAAATAGATAGCAAAATCACGATATGTCTGCAAAGTCTGCAAGGCAATAAAAATTTCATTTTTTTTCTTATCATTCGTTTAATTTCATTTTTTTCGTATCTTTCATTTAATTTCATTTTTTTTTATATTGTACATTTAATTTTATTTTTTCTTTTTTATTTTTTTGTTTTATTTCGTTTTCTTGTTTCATTTTATTTTTCTAATTTCATTTTTTCATTTTATTTTATTTTTCTAATTTCATTTTATAGTTTTTTTCATTTGTTTAATTTCATTTTTTCATCTCATTTTGTTCACTTAATTTTATTTTATAAATTTGTTTCAATTTCTTAATTTCATTTTTTCATTTTATTTAGTTTTTTTAATTTCATTTTTTCATTTCGTTTAGTTTTCTTTTTATTTCATCTTTATTTTTTCTTTATTTTATTTTTATTTTATTTAAAAAAATGATAAATTAAAATTTTTTTAAAAAATAATTTTAAGTAAATAATAAAATTATCATATAATAATTAACAAATTACATATACAAAATAACATGAAAATATTTCTGTAAAAATAATATCATAGTAAAATTATATTTGTATAATGAAATCAGTAATTAAAGCTCTGAACGGTTCAGATTAATCCAAAGATTTTTCAGATCAGTTTGGTTTGGATCGATTTCAGATTGCATAAAAATTGATCCAAAAATTTTTGGTTTAGTTCAGATTTTTTTCGGATTATAATTCTAATCCGAACTGAAAAAAATCTGAACTGAACTGATAATTTCAGATTAATTTTAAAGTTCTTTTTGATTATATGTGAAACTCTTGAAAGATCGCAAAATTTGTGAATTCTCTAAGAGGATCGCAAAAATTTAACGAAACTCTTAAAGAATTGCAATTTTTTGTGGTTTTTCTTCGAATTTTGTGAAAACCTTGGAGAATCGCAATTTTTTGTGATTTCTTTTAAAATTTTGTGAAACTCTTAGAGAGTCGCAAAAAATTGCAATTTCTCTTTAAATTTTATGAACCTCAAAGAGAAATTCACGATTTTTTATGATTTTTCTAAAGTTTCATATATAAATTGCAGATTCTTTATATAATCGAACTGTAATTTCAGATTAATCTAAAAATTCTAGTTCAGTTCGGATTTTTACCAGTCTGTGGTTCAGTTCAGATTCGGATTGGCATTTTTAAGATTAATAAACTAAACTAAACTGAACTGAAATTTTCAGTTCAAATATAGATTGGCATCTAATCTGGACTGAACTGAATTGTTCAGAGCTTTATCAGTAATCATCTACTATAATGTATTATTCAATATACATACTAAATAATTTATTATAATATTAACAAAGATTCTTATAATAAAGGCCTAACTGGCTAGATCAACAATTTCATTATATTAAGGCATGACTGTATTTTCATTTTATCTATAGTTAAATCTCTTACAAATTCTTTATATATTCTATAAATTCTAAACTTTTCAATATTACCAAAAAACATATCACAAGTATCTATAAATTATTTTCTTATTATTTATATTGCATATATTGGTATAAAATTTTCAATTCATTTTCAGATTTTATAAATTTTTTTCAAAAGCTATAGATTTATTAATGCTTAGATCTATTTTTTTAAATAAGGTATATTTATTATATTTCTATGATAGTAAGTATATATTTCTATCTTAAACATAAATGCTTCTTTTAACTTTTATAAATATGTACTTTTAGCTCTAAAGAATTAATCATTTTTTAATTTTTTTTTATAAAAAATGCAATATTGGCTATTTTACTTACGTTTTCTTATCAAAATAATATTTATTAATATTTATTATTTTTAATAATCTGCGAATTTTAAAGTTTTAATTAACTCTTTATATTTAGTTATAATAATCAGGTTTCTAAATATAATAGATAAGACAATCTTCAATTTACCTATATTACCTTCATTTACTATAGGAATCATTAAATTATTTTTTTTTGTTTGTACTATTGTTTTTAATAAATATTCTGCATATTTTTAAAGATTGTTAGTAAATTTGATTAAAGGTGGCTTTAAAAAATCAAATCATGAATGATTGATCTAGAATATCTCAAGATAAGCTGATAAATTTTGACTATAAAAATTCAGTTCATCATAAGTAAATAAAAGTAGCTTTTCTTTTTTTTTATTAAATCAAATTGACTAACAAATTAAAAGAATTCTATTGAGATTGTATATTTATCATTAAATGTTTTATACCTATATTTATCAACATACCATAATGTATTTGATAATTCTTTAATCAATTTCTTTCTTATAGGTATAGTATCATAAGTTCAACTACTTTTATATGAAGGTATATAAAAAAGAATATCTAGTTTTAATTTGTCATTTATTCTAGGATTTTAGAAAAATGAAAATGTAGGTAAATGAAGCTTTTTTGTAGCATTTCTTAAAAACTCAAACACATTAACTGATTGAAAATTATTTCATCAGCTTGTTCTTTACTTTTGAATAGTGTGCTTTTATTTTTTCTAATATCTTTTCTTTTAGTTGCAGAATATATTGATCAACTATATATTCAAATAGGCTTTAAATAGTAGTTAATTTTTCTTCAATATTAATTATTTTCCATAGAAATAAAGTGGTATTGCTATATAATATTTTTGCTTTTGCAATAAGCATATTTTTATTTAATTTGTTTTATGTATAAAAAAAAAGATCAAAGCATCATGTATAAGAAATACAAAATAAAATTGTGATTTTGATGTCTTGATGATTGTTAAAGAAAATTTTCTTTACTATTTATCCAATCAAATTCATATGTTTTCATATAAAATTTTTTGATTAATAAAAAAAAAGTCTGATTGTTAACCTTAAAATATTAAATGATTAGGATGAGAACCATTTTTTTATTTATGACACTTTATATAAGATTGTAAGATATTAGATTTGTATCATATTTTATATTATTAAATTTACTGATATATATTTGTATATAAATTTCTTATAAGAGTAAAATACTTATATTTTTGATAATATAATTATTAAAATAAATTTTAAAATATGTAATAAATGTTATAATATACAGTGTATAACGAAAAAAATGGCAGTTGATAAAATAATATTTTTTTACAAATAATACATAGAAATTTATAATGTCATTCATAAACAAATCATTAATTTTATATTTTCAAATTTAGAAAAATGCGTTTTTAAAAGTAAATTTTTTTTATTTTTGTTTATTTTTATGTTATTTTCTTTGCAACAATGGTTAATACAAGATTAGAAGCTCAAAGACAAACAATTCGACATTACTGGCTTAATAGTATTAATTCAGCAAAGGAAATACAAAAAAAAACTGGTATTCCCCTTCGTACTATTGAGCGTAATCTTAAAAAGCTTAGAGAAACAGGTAATATCAATCATCGGTATAATAATGATCAGAAATCAAAGATTACATAAACCATATCCCGGGCTATTGGGCAACATATACACAAAAATACTGCAATTTTGACCTGCTAACTTGCTGTAAAAATACAAAATACCTATAATATTTCTATTTCACATGAATCCATCTGGAGACATATGAAAAAAAAGGATATGAAAGTTCTGTTCCATTAGCAATTCCGATGCTCACAAATCGGCATATTGAAATATGAAAAGTATGGGCACAAGCACATTTAAATGACAATTAGGGTTAGACAATATTCACTGATGAGACAGAATTTGACCTTTTTTGAAATAAGGTTAGTCAATAGCATAAAAATGGTAAAAGACCCATCTGGAGGTTGCCAAAATCTCGTCAAAAAGTGATGATATGAGGAGGGATTTCAAAAAAAGGAAAAACACCTCTTTTTTGTTTCACTAATATTATGGATGAGCCATTTTATGTAAGTATATTGCAGAATCAGCTTCTACCTGCTGCAAGAAATATGTATAGAAGAAACTGGTGTCTGCAACAAGACAATAATCTGAAGCATACTTCACGTATTATAAAGGAGTTCATTGCTGAAAATTTGATTCATACTATTGATTGGCCATCCAATAGTCCAGATCTTAATCCTATTGAAAATATGTGGACGATCGTCAAAAATAATGTTGAAAAGCAGATGTCTCAAAATATTAATGAGTTGACCAAATTTTGGTTGAAGAATGGGATGCAGTTCCTCAATCAACAATGAATAATTTGGTTATGTCCATGAAAACCAGATGTGAAATAGTTTTAGAAAAAAACGGTGATAGAATATCGTATTAAAATTTTTTTTATCTAATAAAGGAATTGATCGGCTTTTAAATAAATTTAAATTCATTCAAATCGGATAGGTAGTTTTTGAGATATATTGCTTTTTATTACCGCCATTTTTTTCATTACACACTGTATTTTAACTTAAATTTTAAATTATATTTAAAATGAAAATTCTTATTATTTATAAAATATTTTAAAATTATTAAGAATATATAAAAAAAATAAAAAATATTTAAAACTATCATTATTAAGTAAATTATTTTATTAAAAATATATTTTTATTTACAATAAATTTAAAAATTAATCTAATAAATTATTTTTAAATATAATATATTATATTTAAAGTATTATTTATAATAAAATTTAAAGTAATAAAATAAATATTTATTAATTTATAATTAAATTTAATATATTTTAAAAAAAGTATTATATAATTCAAATAACTATTCTTATTATTTTTTTAATTAATTTTATCTTATAAAATTTTTTAAATATTTAATTTCTTTATTTAATACTTAATAAATAAATATTTTGCAAAATAATAAACAAATTTATTATTATTTTATTTAATTATAATAATTATATTTTATTATTTAGAATAGAAATTATTAATTTTTTTTTTCTAAAAAAATATCAATTAATTTTTATTAAATCTTTAATATAAAAAATCAAAATTTAATGAAGTATTTAACAAAATAGCTTTTGTTAAATTATTTTAACAGATTCAAATATAATACTGGTTATATATATATGGCTATTATTAAAATACCTAATCTTTTACGGTATCCTTTATTTCTTTCTCAGCTATTACTTAAAATTATTACAATATAAATTAGTTAAATTCTTAAAAATTCAAATAAACAAAAATTTAAATTAACGAAATACCTTTTGAATTGATTCTAAGTTTAGAAAAATCAATAGTTACAGATTCTATTATAATTGAAAAAAAAAATTGTTAATTTACAATTTAAAATTTTAAATAACAAAGTAAAAATAATAAATGTACCGGAATCTTCAATTTCAGATGGATTGTCATTATTGTCATCATTAGCAATTTTGGGTGCTGAAAGATTTTTAAAATCCAAAAACCTGCTAGTATAATATGCCCGGGGATGTGTAGTGTATGAAAGATCATCATCAGAACTTGTTGTAGATCGAAGCTTGTTCATCTCATCTGCTTCTTCGAATTGCTTGTTAATTAATGAATGTTTATCATTACAATTCCTTTCTAAATTATCTAATGAATCGCACAATTCATTAGCATTAGGACGGTTCGAAGGATTTGCGTCCCAACACCGTTTAATAACATCAAAAATTAGTTGTGGAATCTTATAATCAGACTTTGGTCTCAATCCTTGACAAATTTTTAAAGCTAACGATTCATCATGAGCCATATCATAATAAGGAGGCAATCCTGTAAGTATTTCATATGCTACGATTCCGAATCCATAAATTTCGCTTGCTTGAGTATACTCTTTCTCACTCAAAACTTCAGGGGCTATATAAGGTAACACTCCATATACTTGCTTTTTGTCAATTTGTGCAGCTGGTTGACATAACCTCAAACCACCAATAAGGAATTCATTCCAATAATGAACCAATATGTTGCCACTATGAAAGTTACGATGAATTAATCCATAAGCATGAATATTCTCAAGACCTTTTGCAATACTACTTAAAGCATTCAATTTATTAGTCCAATTCATCGAGTTAAACTTTTTATTCAATCTTTGTCTCAGATTACCATTTTCTGCATACCGCAATACAATCATGAAGCTATTTGTTTTTGGGTCCTTAGTAATACCATAACAGTGAATTACGTGATCTGAATCATTCATGATATGATGAGAACTGACCTAAAAGAAAAAAATTTGTATTGATGAATAATAGTCATTTCAATTAAACTTTTAGGAAATAAAAAGCAATTTACCTCATTTAAAAATTCATCCGTAATATTTTCTAAACCATGTAAACATTTTAAAGCGACTGTGATATCGTGTTTGTTTCTTTTCCATTTTTTATATTTAGTATCCCAACCCCATATATACCCATCTTTCCAAAATGCCTTATAAGTGATTCCAGAACCTCCTTTGGATAAATGTTCAATGCTTTCAAATCTATCATATTCGATCCATTCAATCACATTTTTGTAACCCGTTGCAAAGAGTTGTGATTTTTGAACAAGGCTGTTGATGTCGTTATTTCCACTGTTCCAATTTTTGAAATTTTGCTGAAAATGTTTAGCGTTACATGATTGACACCAATTGAAATGAGTTTTTGGTTGGTTGCATTCCTTACATAAGCCATACTTTTTATAACGTGCTTTTAAACCTTCATTTAAGATTAGTTTATCAATTAACGTTGATTGTTCAACAGTTAAACTAAAATATTCAAAATTTTTTATTTGTCCGATTGTGTCATTGCTAAGGTGCAAACTTTCTTCCATCTTTGAATATATTTCTTTTTTTTTTCAAAATCGTATAGAGACGTATAATTTTGTTTGCGAAAAAAAAAAAAAAAAAAAAGGTCGGCTGGGAAAATATTCCCCGATTTATATTAGTTTTTATCAACTTTTCTATTGGTTCTTGAAATGATTTTCTGATCGACAATTAACTAGATCATCATCAAACCAAATATTTGTATGCACTCAACATTGTAATTTTAATAATTTTAATAAGGTACGTGAATCTTCTAAAAAAAGCAACGGTATCTCCGACATCGTTGTTATCTCGTACAGGATTATTAAGTGATTTGCATAAAGTTTGTAACGCAGGAATATTAGAATTATATCATGACGGGATTCTTTTTTTTTAAGGAAGTTCTCAATAAATGTAAGGATTCTTTCCTGCTATTACCATATTTCACAATGTTAAAATGATTTAATTAATAAATGAAAAAAATGTCATTATAAATCTTAATAATGATGCAAAATTTTTAATTTTGTAATATAATTGATGTGACTACTGCAGGAGAAAATCAAGTTGAAATTAATATAAAAAATGAGTATTGACCGACCGAAAAATATTCCTAGGGAACTAACGTTGATAACTTACTAAATGAGTTTATATTTAGCAAATAATGTCATAAACTTACGGGATTTTTTTTTTGTTAGCCTAAAAGTAAAGGTTAAAAAATGCTTAGTGATAAAATAAATCTAACTAAAAAAAATTAGTTATTTGAAATATCAAATATCGAAGAGAATCAATCCCACATTATTTTCGTTAAATCTTTTTTTATCCGGCTCAGTTATTTCATGTTTGCTGGTCTCGACCTAAAAATATGATATGATTACCCTCGTCATTATCATTTCGTCAGTTTTCATTTCTTCTATTGAAAATGACAACACATTTAGTGTCAAAATGGAAATCCTTTAATTGATTAGCTCATTTTGTTGGTTATCTTCATTATTCAAATAATAAATTCAAATAAATAAAAATCATTATCTAGCACGGACTACTTATATGGTTACACAACGGTTTTGATAGTCGTACAAATGAATGTAAATGATGAAAAATTCGTCTACTGGTTTCAAAATTTCTTAATGATTTTGATGAATAAATTCTCTCTCTCTCTCTCTCTCAAATCAATAAACTTTTTCAAAGAATAATTTATTATTCACATTTTAATATAAGTTATAATGAAAATGTAGCCTTATTTGAAATAATTTCCTCATTAACGTTAACAATTTCTTTAAATATCTTGACACTTATTCTAATTTTGGAATTCGTTAAAATAATTGATGTCTTCACATTTTAATTTGTAATCACACGTTCTTTTAATATAGAATAATGTTTTAGAAAAATCATAATTATTATTTTCTGTAGATATTCCTTTACCTAACTTTTAAAATCTTTTATTTTGAGTTTGACTTTAAAAATTCAGATACAAAACTTCTTTTTTTTTCCGTGTTACAGAAGTCATATCTCCATTTCAGCCTTTTGGAAGATTATTTTATTTAATTTTGTATCTTCAATGATTATTGGATAAAAAGACTGCTAAGAGAGGATTTATACATAAATAAAAATAGTGAAAATTAAATTTTCGTTTGAATTTTTTTCATCAATGAATAAATTTTTACCACGTTAAAATAAAATGGATATTAATTAAAAAAAAAAAAAAAAATGAAATGAAAAAGCATAATATGTTATCGCATGAATCATTTGTCACAGTCGTTTTCCGTCAACAAGGTTAGCTTTCAACTCTACCGTAAAAATTCTTAAATTCTTTCGTCATTGTACAAGGTATATTGCTATCTTTCTACTGATCTGCTTTATGTTACTTTAAAACAATTTCATACAACATCTTAGGCGTCGGCCATAAAATCGCCTGATAATACATTTATTTCTCAAATGCTGTCTTGCATCCAACTTTTATTTTTTTTTTAAAAAAAAAATAAGTGGATCATATTTTATGACATCGCGCGTATAATATTTTATCATAAATTTATTTTGAGAAAATAAACTTTTGTGATGTTGTGTTACGACAGTTAAAACAAGATGATAGATAGATGGCGTTAGATTTATAAGTTGAGATAAAGTTCTGGCTGTAATTCTTTTTTTAATTGAAGATTAGATTTTTTAACATATAAAAATGGTGCATTCAAATATTTTATAAATGAATTGCTGCCAATTTTCTTTTAAAGTTTGCAGCAATACCCATAAAGCAAATATATTTTCGCACCATTCATTCCCCATGTATTTATCAAGGCCTCTTTCATCCAAGTTCTACATGAGAATACTAGTAGTATATTAAATTCATGCTCCAACAATCGATTCAAATAATCGATTTGTAAAATATCAAATAAAGTAAATTAATTGAAAGGGTACAATTCCTTTGAGACCCATGATTTGTATTAACACTTCCTTCATTTAACTCTGGTACATTGATTTGGACGTGTAAAATACCTAAAGTATGGTATACAAATAGTATAAATTCAAATATATATTTTTTTTTTGATGGAATAATATGATATTTATCGAAGAAAATTCCTAAATTTGTCTATGAAAATTTAAAAATCACATAATAAAATAAGCTTTACGATTTAAATTAAAATATTTATATGTTACACAAGCTGAAAAAATGATGAATACACTTATATTGTAAACAACTATTTCTATTTTAGACCACGAACGTTTAAGCTAATTTTTTTCAAATTTCAAACTATTGTTCTTGTGATTAATTTGAGAGATATTCAAGTTTGAACTGTCATAACGAAAGAAGTTTCAATTTTTGTATAAAAAAAAAATTTTAAAAAAACTCTCACTACTCTTTTCTCGATCATATAAAGCTAAATTTGAAATTCATTGATTAGTTATTATTTGGATCAAATGCATTTTCAATATCATCAACTAATCCAAGATAATGCCGAATCATTCATATATAGAGGATATTTCAAGTAAATTACATTTAAACTTTAACTTATGATTACGCTACTTTGAATGATATTTTCGTATGATTAAAAGTATTAAACCTAATTATTATAATCTTTGCCAGTTTTACAAACTGTATTGGATACGGTTCCACCCGTTAATTTACAATGAGGTACGACCATCCACGAAATAAAAAGCCCAAACATTTCTGCAAATTGAACATAGCCAGAGTTGGAAAGTCAACTTGTAATTGATTTGTTCACAAAGCAACGAAAAGTTTCTATTTAATATTTATATCGTTCGGATGATTAACTTGTTTTTTAGTAATTTCTTAGGCGTTAAAGGTTGTACTTACACCGACTCATCTACTATTTAAGAGGCAACTAATACTTCATGATGACAGAGTCGGACCCATAGCTCAATTTACCAACTTGTTTTTGATTTTAATTTCAAAAGAGATTTAATATGTATTTAATTTACCTTTATTACAATGATGCCACACACAAACATTTGAACAAATATATTATGTATAAAATTCAATGATTATATACGTGAAATTTTTTATTTCATTAATTACTAAAATAGGAAGTGGTGTAGTGCGTGTATGATTTAAAACATAAACATTTATTCGAAAATACATAATAAATTGCTCCAGAATACAGAATACATTCTATTTTTTACCTTCAAGGTATTTTCTGGTGAATAACGATGGACTAATGACTTTTGAAGATTAACTTTGGAGATTGTTATTTGGGATTTTAAGGGCTTCATTTTAACATGTCTGTGGTTTTTTTGGTTTTACTGTATTAGTTTTCCTTCCTTAATAATACTTACTGGTAACCATAAACATCAAGCTTTATTTCATGTTGACTGTAGAATTTGTTTTTTTAGATTATTGACGGACGTTCTGATAATATAAAAGAAAAAATTTTTTAACCTGAATAAGGTTTGCCTCTTCTACGTAGTAGTGTCTTGGAGAAACAGTTATTGGTCGATTTCTGGCTAAGTGCAAGCATATTGTGATCCTAACTTAATAATCGAGAATTTTCGTTTAGTTGACTTTAACATTGAGTTTTCTTTAAATAAATAAAAAAAATTATAATTATTTGCGCGCCGGTTGAGATTGCGGAAAACAACTTAATTTGAAACTACAAAGATCTCCGGGGTAGCCATTGTTGGTCCAGCGACTCAAACAGATTATTGTCCATTCGGCGGCGAGAAGGATTCTTAATCACAAATCAAAAAGCATGAATAAACCATTAAAGTATAATGACTTGGATTATTAGCTCCCATAAAATTTATTTATTGCCAAGTCAATTTTATGCCAAAGATAATAAAATATACTTTGTAAAAAAAAAAATAAAACTTTTGCACTTCAATATCTTAATGCATTTTATTCGCATAATCGAAAATTAAACAATTTTGAAGCAATCAATGTATGTATTGGTTTCCACTTTAAGTTAACTGTTAATTCATCAATAATAATTACTGGATTAATAATTTGACCAAAATAAAATGTGAAAATATTTATTTCCGCGTGATGGTATTGTTGAGCATAATATATATTAATAGATCTTGCTTTCCGAAGGCTTTTTTATAGTTTGAAAGTTATCACTGATAACTGCGCAGTTATCGGAACCCAATCAAAAGAGAAGTACAAAGTGTGGTATTCTACAAATTATAACTTAACATGTTGCTCATGTGCCAGCAGGCTTTAAGGGATGGTTGTCTAACCAAGAAAGATATAATAAATAATTAAGCAAACCTTCGATAATCTCTTCATATCAATACGAATTGATAGTGCACAAAAAAAAAATGTGTTGTGCGAAATAATTCAAAACTTACTTCTAATGTCTGATATTACCTTGTGGCGTAGTAAAAATTTCGATGATATTTACTTCTGGCAATAACAGTTCATAAAAACAAGCAAGATAAAGTTTCATAATGCCAACTCAAATTAAACTTATTAATATAAAATAATTTACATATAATAATTATGATTTGATTACAAAATAAATAAATTACATGAATCCTGTTAATGAATCTTTTTAAGAATCTCATCGTCACCGTTATAATA